GTCGGTCTGTACAACGGAATTGTGCCAAAACTACGCCAACCAGCTGCGGAGGGAGACTCCCCCCTTCACTGGAGAACTGCGCTAAAACAGCGTAATCCACTGGCCCCCCGTCCGTTCGTCCGTCCGTCGACTTTCCTGAAGTNGTGGAATATTTTCATGCAGCCTTCATGTTGAGATCAAACCATTCGGTGGCTAGCAATGTGTTGGCAGATACATTGTCACGCTTACAATATGAAGCAGCTTGTGATGCCCGAGTGCTGGTTGTTGTAGGTGGTGTGTTTGGACTGGCTATTGTGCCTGCGTTTCGCGTGGTGCTGGATGAGTGGTCCGTTCAAAGACAAAAGTAGTCGGCAGCGCGTCTGTCGTTGATTGCTGTGATTGTTTGTTTTAAAAAATTAAATAAATCACTAACTCATGGTGGGGGATGTTATGTGCCTCCCCTCTTGTTGTCTTTCTGTCCTCTGCTGCGCAGGTGCACCTGGTCGGCCTGGCTCCGCCTCTGCCCAGGTGTTCCCTAATCCGAATTCAGCCGGGTTATAGGAGAAACTAAGAGGAACGAGGTCTCGCCTACCCTTATGCCCGAGACCACTATTCTTTTGATTATCCTCTCTGCTACTTTTGAGCTGTAGACGTGGTATCTTCTGATGTTTTTACGTTTAGCTGTGGAGTACCCTGGTAGCCACAGTTTTTGCGGTTTTAATTTTGTTTCCATGAGGGAAGTTATCTTCAAGGAAAGTCGACGGAACGACGAACGGACGGGGGAGTGGATTAACGTCTTTGTGATCAGCTGTTTTAGCGCAGTTCTCCAGTGAAGGGGGGAGTCTCCCTCCGCAGCTGGTTGGCGTAGTTTTGGCACAATTCCGTTGTACAGACCGACGTTACTATCTCCCTCCGCAGCTGGTTGGCGTAGTTTTGGCACAATTCCGTTGTACAGACCGACGTTAACAGCAGCCCGGTCTGTGCACACGGAGGCCGACTGTCGTCCGGTGATCTAACCACATTCTGGAAAAGCTTCACAAGTACGTCGGTACGCAAATGCGCTTTGTGACACAAGTGACGGTATGCATTTCAGATTGTTGCCGCGCATGCGTACCTGCGTACCAGTTATGTGCACCCCTGTTTATAAGCATATTAACCAACAAATAAACAATGATTTGTATTTATCATTTAAAATGATAGTTATTTTTGGCCTATAGCAAAAACAGACATCAAACCAACAATTACACTTTTTAAAAATGGTCCCTGAATCAACTACAATTGCTTCTGCCCAACTGTATGTTTGGTGGTTAAGGATTGCCATTCCCTTTATGCAAACCAAAACAACTTCTGGAGTTGATTCTTTGACTGAATATTGTGTTTCCATAAACGTTTGTGCAGCAATCCATTATCTACCCACACCATAAACGGTTTTGAATGCAAACTGAATGGTTTTGCAATAAAATGTAACTGTCCTTGTCTTGTCTCATTGTTTGAGACACATAACTCAAAAGTCTTGTTGTGTGTAACACCGGGTGAAAGTAAAGCATGGTGTATTTCAGTCCTTTTTTAGACATATTTAGGGTATACAAGCAACAGGTGTAAGAGTACAAAACACAACAGCCAGTACAAACAGTAAAAACATGACTTAGAGCTTGACGGTCACACCCAAAACCTGTTTAGAAATGGCTCACGTCAGGGTTTTTTTTCTTCTTTATTTGCAGGTTTGGAACTAATATATATATAAAATATATTTAAATCTTTATAGCAATTTCACACTTTTGTAAGATTTGGATTCAGAAAAAGTTATAGCTTTGGATGTGACTCGACTCTGATCAGAAACTTCTTAGGTTTTCAAACCTCAGTCAAGCTGAGTTGTGAGAACAACACTTGAGTCAGTAACATCTGTGATGTCTTTTTCTTCATGGCAATAGAAGACAGTATGTCTACGGAGAAACGTCAAGAAGCTCACACAACACATCACTTGTATGACAACGCAACACCACAGAACAATCAAAACCTTGCCAGAAAGATGTGTGCGGGACGGTGAGGTGCTGTGGTAGGAATACAGAGATACGTGGGTGAAAAACAAGAAGCGACACTTAGGACTGTGAGCTGTTGATGTGGTCATAGCAGGATACAGGCAGCGTGTGATTGGGTAAGTGTAGGGCACAGAGGGCAGGGAACAATGCAAACTGTCCGAAGTAGAATAGGTAAAAGGGTCAGTCTAAAGTGTCTCTCACATCTCCATTTGAGATTCTTTGGGTGGTGATCTGTCCTTTATCGAGCCAGAGATGGTGTAAAACCTGCAGGGAAATAAAAACATTTTTAAAACATGTTTGACTTCAATTAATAATTTGTTTTCAATATGATTTTTCTTTGCTAACTGTGCCTTTATTAAAAGGCACCATATTAAGCCCATTTTCCATATTGTATCTTTATTTTTCTCATACTGCCTATGCTCTGATTGGTTAGGTAGCTGGCTTTGTTGTGATTGGCCAAGCGCAATGTTCTGCCCCTTAGCCTATCACATACAATGTGTTGGAGTGCTAGCCAATTGAAGCACGAGTATTACAAAGTGTTGTCACTATGTTACAGAAGTAAACAAAGGGGTCCAATGGAGGTGTTTCAGGCAGTCGGAGGGAGTGTGTGGAAGCGAAACTCCCTCTGGAGAGAACTTTTGGACTTTAGCCTTTGCAGACCATCTACATGCACACAAACTGGAAAGAAACCCAAAAATAGAAAACACTTAACAGCACAATAGAGATCATTAAAAAAAATTAGAGACAGAGGGGAAGACCCATCTAAATAGCCTTAATGTTGGAATTGAACACAGGTCCGCCACAGCTGCGACTGAGCCCCGAGTCCATGGGCCGCTTCTCTACCAGGTGAGGGCAGCAATAAATGAATCAGAAAATCATAATCCCAAAATAAAGTTCTTCAAACTAATGCTTTGTATCTGATCTGGGGCTCAGGGGGGTATTGCTCTGATCTGCAAATCAGGGGGTCACGTTCAATCCCATCACTTGCAATCAACATGTCAAGGTGTCATTGGGCAAGATACTAAATTGCTGGTATGTCTACAGTCGCTTTGGATAAAAGCCAAACACCATGTAATGTAATGTAATGTAATGGAATGTGATGCAATGATTGGTTTAATATACCCTGGAAATTCTCAAAGACATCTGTAGTTCCTAGTCAGCTGGTAGCCACAAAAAACAACAACGTTCCAGTGGATATGAAGCGTGAATTAAATAACTAAAGCGAGCTAATGCTAAGGCAGCACTGTGCCATGCATGAACGGCATGCTTCATTAATCACAGAAATAACGGCTAGAAAGATACGCATTGTCCGTGAATTTACAACAGAGCCGGCCAGCTAACCAACCAGAGCAGACTGGGCTAGTACATTAATGTGTAAAGTCCAACCTGTGATGTGATATGGAAATTAGCTATTAGCTCAAATCTGGCATAATTAATCTCTTCTCTTTTCTGAGATTAATGTATTTGTATGCATGGTCCTTATTGAAATAAATACATAATATCCTCCGACCATTCTTTTTTTAAATATAATACAAACAAAATAGTAACCCTTCTTTCAGTTTTTCTTTTTGTTTGACAGTTTAGAGTTCATGCATATGAAAACGGTATTGAAATAAAAACCCAACCGTAACCCCATTTAAAAAAATGAAAAAACAAAGAAAGATACCACATGTTTTACCTTGGCTTTCTGAAATGCCTGCGTTTTCTCATAGCCTGAAAACAGGAGGATTTGACGCAGGAGTTTTTCAGGTCCACCACCTGGTAGATGATGGGGTTGTACATGGCGGAGGACTTGGCCAGCAGCGTGGGAATGACGGACACAGAGATGGGCACAGAGTCCGGCTCACCAAACGCTGACACCACTGACACCACTGCATAAGGAATCCAGGCTATTAAGAAACCTGTACAGATCAGCATTGCCACCTGGAATACAAAGAAGATTCAAACAATAGCTCAAAGGTTATACTGAATCCCCTTATGTCTCTTTTTAGTCACCCACCTTTGTGAGTTTCATCTCAAGGTTGTGGCTGTTGGTGATGCGAGCATCAAGCTGTGACATTTCCTTTGCGGATGACTTGACCTTGAAGATAATCATGACGTAGGAGAAAACCATGAGGACTGTTGGTAAGATGAGACAGAAAAACAGGATGGCCACGACAAAGGTCTGTCCGGAGACGGAGGCCTGGGCCAGCCACCAGTCCAGTGTGCAGGAGGTCCCGAAGGGTTCCGGGGCGTAGTTCCCCCAGCCCACCAGGGGCATCGTGGCCCAGAAGGCTGCGTACGCCCACACGAAGGCCAGGCACAGGAAGGCGTGGCTGCGCTTTAGCCATGTGCCTAAAAGTGACGAAATACACAAGAATGATGGTGGACTAGTGGTGAGAGAGATCATTTGTGAACTGAAATGACATCATTTCAATATAACCATGCAATTATTAGTTTCAGTTGATAATGTGCAACCCATTTTAAGACAATTCAAATCGGACAGAATGTAGAAAAGAAGAATAATCTAAGTTGCTGCTTTCTTAGTGCAGTTGCATCAGCATGTCAGGTCTCAGATGTAGACAAAGAAGGAAACTAGGTTGAGGATAACTCAAATTTGTGAGATTGAATTGAACAAATCATAGTAATTAATGTCCAGGGCCGTTAATACTTAAGTCAGAAGTACCCCAATGTGCCTTGAAGGAGTTCTATGATACATTTCAGTCTACTTGTGTAATTGCATTAGATTTAACAAGGGAATATTAGAATTACCAGAAAGGTGTATATTCTAGTCATAGGTTTGGGTCCAGGTTGTTTACAGTTACTTAATTGTTTTTGCCCTAACTCTCTTAAATTAAAGCTCACCTAAACACATTGCCATTCATTTCTGTAATTCACTCTACATGATATTTAGGAGAACAACGTCAAAGGAGATCCGGACATACCGTATCTGAGATGACAGATTTTGAAGTACCGGTCCAGACTGACCACAGTCATCGTTATGAGGCTCCCACAGCCGAAGAAGAAGCCCGCCCAGCCATAGAAACGACAACCCTCCCAGCCGAACAACCAGCGGTGGGAGAAACTAGATACAACGAAAAAGGGCTTTCCCGTCACTGCAAGGACAAAGAAGGGGAAGGACAGAGATGAGGGAGAGGAAGATAGAAGGATAAGATGCATGAAACGTGAAATGGAAGGAAAAACAGGATGGGAACGAGTGGAAATGGTGTTGAAGAAAGAGAGAAGGGGGTTGACAGAGAAAGGATCAATTACAGAGTAAAAGGAACATGGCTATGATAAGATTAAATGTGTATTCTCTTCATCCAACCATCTTCATTACAGATCACATGCAGAATCTAAGGAAGATACTTAAGATACTAAGTTACTTAAGAATGAATAAATACAATTGTGATTCTGTCTTACGCCTAGCACTTATGATACAACGGAAATCCATTAAGGTTAGGTTAGGGTGGTATGCAAACTGTGTGTATACTACAAACATGATTTATCCACACAAGGCATGTAATGTATAATGCTTGAGAATTTATAATAAACACAAACAAAACCATCCTTTTCCCCCCAGTCTAGGGAGACAAAGATAGCAAACATAATTTCATCATAATTGAACAACCATTACAGTTTTTGATCATCTGTACACAGGATGATTAAGCCATTTCATCATTTGTATTAACTAAAACATTATCAATTGGGTCTCTACCCTGCTCTGGTTGGGGTTGCAGAAGATCAGTCGGTCTGGAATTGGTAAGGTCTCGGCAGAGCCGGCCCGACCCATTAAGCGACATAAGCGGCCGCTCAGCCACTAAGGGCCCCCAGCGGCAAGACACCAGACCAACCTGAGAGTTGAATGGAAATAAACATCTGTCTTATTGGCTGACAGGTACCTATCCTGTGAGCTGTGACAATGTTTAAACTGTCAGTCAGACTCAGAGTTTTTGAAGATGGACATAAGAAAATGTTTCTTAAAAAGACGACAATTCTCAAGTGGTGGCTCACACAACATCCCCAGAGCCACCACTTCCGCCAGGTAAACAAGGTATGTAAATGTCAGTAAACTTCCAAGTTATGCGAACATGTAAGCAAAGCATAAATTACAGCTACGTTGACGTTACTTTGAATCGCGGGGGTAAGCTAAACCGTTAGCAAGTAGCTATAGCTAGCCAGATATATTAAATAAACACTTTGTCATACAATCTAAATGTAATGTTTTTTAGCGTTACCTGGTGATTTCAAAGAAAGCTCTCTGGAAAATGTTGACTTACTGTTCGACATGAAGCCTCTGCCAGGTGTAGCACTGTGTATGTTTGTTTAACATCTCGGCGGACGCTAAACGACGTTTATTTCATGTTGTACGTCGGAAGACGAATAGTACGAATATAGTAATTGGACCAGAACACACACTTGCCAGGAACTGGATAAGTTCCTTTTTACGATAATGTTTAGGGGACTTGCTATGTATCGTAAGATGCATTCTGTCCTGACTTAAGAATTTGACGGACTAAAATGGTTTCGCGAGGAAAAGGGAAGAAACAGTTAAAGGAAAATACTACAAGTCATACCGTGAACACGTTCTCGACAGGTGTACTTATAAGTACGAAAAGTAGAAACTTATTATCACACCTTTAACCTTTCCCCAAATAACGAAAAGTGTTGATTTTGTGTGCCTGAATCAGCCACAAAAGACGGACAATAAAACCAGTTCCGGGTCTACATTGACCATTAACATTACACCCACACCCGACCTTATATATTTTTCTTGTCTCTGTCACTTCAAAATCCGAAACGTTGGTTGGATTAGTTTGATATATCGCAGGACTTCGGCTTTGACGGAGAAGTGGTCAGGTGTAAGGTATAAGGTATCAGGTAGGGCCAAAGGTTCCGGACTTTTCTGTAAAGGTTATGGTTCCTGGCTCTGGGTACCCGGCCGGGCATCTGATAAAACCCCGTGATTCGCTCGAAACCGAACCCCCGGGGAGTGAGATCGCGCAAGAGTGATGTGTTGTGCCTTGGTGAAAACAGAATACCTTCAATCGTATTCGTGTGTATAACATCATTTATTCTTAACCATTGTGGCCACCTGGATTGGAGGAGACCCCCCAGGCCCCCGTACGAGGGGGACCTTCTAAAAAAAAATTTATAACTTAATTTTCGTAGTTAGAACCACGTGAAACTCGACGTTTTAATTCTCTAGATACCTATGTAGAGAGTTGTGGGGGTATACTTTGTCTTGACATTTGTCTAAAAAGAAATTACCTATAAAATGTTTAGTGAGGGAAAATTTGACATAAGAACAAAACAGTAGATCATAAAGTGTTTTGACAAAAAAGTAAATAACGAGAGACTGACAGGTAGAGTATTACAATGTATCTTTGATAGACAGTTATCCTTATAGTAAGTCTCTTAATATTAAAGTTAGTTTTTAGACAGTGTTTTTTTCCAACGTGTAAATTTTAAGTCCACAACAGTACCGTTGGGTCACCGGTTTGTCGGTGTAAATGACGACGTTTATGCAAGTTGTGTCGACAGCTGGCATTTCGTCACCGTAGCGGTGGTAAAGTCGTTCGACTGAAAAAGAGTCTTTTATGACAGTGTATTGTAGGTATTAAAGTCACGATCCAACGACGAATCGATTTAATTGATACTTTGTAAATTGACTTTCTGAGCTAGCTGGACACATGGACATTTCCT